TAGCCAGAAATTAGGTTTCACTTAGTTTCTAAAAGATTGAAAGAAAAATGTGAGTTTTCTCTTTTTGTCTCTCAAAAAAAGAGCTGTGTTCAACCCACAAAATGTCTAGCTGGGATTCAAGTAAAACAGACAAAGCTTCGAACATAAGAACTACCATGGTTCTAAGATAATGAAAGGATTTGCTGGGGGAGAGAGAATGTCAGCTGAATGATGAAAATTGTAATGTTTAATATCACCTACTTCTTTAAGGAATGAAGAATGATCTTAGGTTCTTCATTGACATAGAACCATAAGATGGCTTACCAACCAAAAATACCAATCTACAGATATCTCCAAAGACACTGAAATATGAAATGACACCTCTTCATAATCTCTTGTGCACTGAGTGAAAATACCTTTGTCTAACAGGAAAATGGGGTAGACCATGTTACTAAGTGTTGAGACTTTATAAAAAAGCTAAATCAGATTCACGATTTCCAGGTACTTTTCTCAAGCTACATCCACCTGCACAAAAAAGAAAATGTTAAAAAATGACCAATTATTAGATTTAAATCTTATACTCTATGTTATAATTGAGAATCTAAATGTTTGAAGGTCTCTGTGGACAGAGCTAGTGAACCTTTTTCAACGTGAAAGTTCATACTTTAAAGGGGTATTGAATGGAAAGCCAGGTAATTTCCAAGTCTAATGGTTCAATATAGCTCTTTGCTGACTCAATTTTAAATGTCTCTTTCATTAGTTTAACAGTGAAAGATTAAATTTAATGACTGTGCTCATTAATAAAAGACTGCTGAGCCCTAAACCAAACCATTTCATACTATTTTACTATGTACCACTGTAATAATAGAGATGTTTTAAATGCCTGGTAAAGAATAGTAGCTGAACTGAACCAGACAGCCTACATGCAGCAGATCTATACTCTAGGGAGAAATGGGTGACGACAGGTAGAACAGAAACAGAACTGTAGCTCGCATTAAAGCCAGCTAATAGGTAAAGTACATTTAGAATTTCAACTGGAGGGATGACCAAGTGCCCTTAATGTAATAAAAAGTGCTGAGGGGATTGATATACTGCCAAAAGCATTAGTCTGTGTGTAGGTCACACCAGAGCTTTATGGATGGTCCTGCTGTAAAGAAAGAGACCAGTTATATCTTGCTAACTCTCTGTGTTGAAAGTAGAAAGCCAGGAAAAAAAGTTGGATGCATTTTGCTAAGTGTATTGTAACCCTCAAATTCTCCCTTTAATATAAATAATCCTGCAAAGCTGTAAATTTTGACTAGTGTCTCAGGCTAGAAAGATTATGGTTTTTTTTTAGTTCCTAAGGTTTATGGTGGAACATATTAAGATCTCTCAACTGGTTTAGATGAAATCTGAGGAGCAGCATTTTATTTTCCTTTAGTTTGGGGTTTTTTTTTTTTGGCTTCTTACATTTTTATCTGAGTTCTTAATCTTGCAGTCTTAATATTGTATTATTGGTCAGTACAGCGGGGATGCTAAAGGCAGCTATAGAGAGATGCTATTTTGAAAACAGTCACAGCACTTTGTAATATAGAACTGAATGGAACTTTAGAATTCCTGGTTGAATAACTAAAAAAAATTACTTTGAGAAAAGGATAGAGAGAGCTTAGAGGAAGTGATTTTTCTATTTTTTATGTAAGCTATTTTCTATGAAATAAAGAATAAAAATTATCACAGGCTTCAAAGAATAAGTGGGAGAATTGGAGTCTCTCCAGCAGAGAAGGAAATATTTGCCAGCCACCAGAAGGACTGATCTTCTTCAAATGTTTGAGAAAATAGGATCAAGATCAATTCTTTATTCTACTTTCCACCAGCCTTGTCTGTTTAGATGACGGGAAGGCTTCAAGGAGGTTATCCCATGCAATGGAAAAAACCTGTTGGTCCAAACACTGTAATGTTGCAACAAAGTGAAAGTTAGCATCTGACACACTGGAGCAGCTTCATTTAAAGATGAAGATTCCAACAACTCTGATAACGTGCTTGTGACCTCTGAAGTGCTGCAATGACACTGAAAATACATTCCTCAGAATTAAATTACAATAGATAAAACAATGAGTTTCTTATGTAGATGTGTTTTTTACTTACAATTCTGTTTATGTTTTGATTCTGCAGCTTCTCATTTGAACGTAACTAAAATTGAAAAATGCAATTATTATACAATGCCTATATGTATCCTTCTGCAAGTGAAAGATTATTCACTCTGCTATTTTATTTATCTAAATGAACATATTCTAGCCTTTATCCTATTACTTTCAAGTTTATTTCTATTCACAGTACCTCATTTTTCTAACAAATAACTTCAATTTCTTATATTTTTCAAATATGACTGCATTATCTCTTGATTAGTTACTAGATGATCCAGCTACAACTATTTAGTAAGTCATAGAACCTATTTCTGAAGCTGTGCAACTACATCAGTGCTTTGTAGTTTCACAGATGCATTGAAATAGTCTTTGACTTGAGTAGAGGTTATGTAAATAAAAGTTTACTTTAAAATAAGGAATCTTCTTTCTTGCCAGCCAAAACCTCCCAGTCCCCAAATTACATATGATATAAAACATCATAAATGCAATGTTTTTTCTGCTGAGCATGACTCCCCTCAGAGTGATTCTTTCCTAACTCCTCTGAATATAAGAATGCTAGATTTACTGTGGTGAACAGAGATTAAGTTTTAAGGAGTTTAAAGTGAAGAAATTAAAGACTGTGGACTACAAAGTCTAGTTTTAGACTACAGTTATTAAAATATTCACAACTATTTCTGCAAACTGAAGTGTCAGTTACAGCTAAATAAACAAATATTTAGGCTCAGACACCTCAGACTTTAAATCAAACATCTCATGAGGAATTTGTGACTTCTAAAGACTATTATTTTAATCTTTCCTCGTTATTTTGTCCCTTCTGACCTTTGTATGATGCGAATTTTCAGGGCAAAAAATAGTTAGCATGCATTTGGTGACTGAAGAACTTCTAGCTGTCATTTCAGCAATTCCATTATGTGTTTAGACATTTTTAATTAGACAATTAAGCTATGTTTTCTGTACACATTAACTCTAATAACTGTGACTGAAACTATCACCTGCACCCCAACTGTAAAGTCACTGAAGCCCTGAATTGGCACAGTCATTGCTCTATAATCTCTGAAAATAATTTTGCAGCAAATGCTCCCCCCCTGCTACTACTCTCTGCCTTTCTGGAGAGATTATGCAATGTATATATTGCATTTACTATTCATTTGCTTGCCCTTTCATAATACACAGCTCCCTTCTAAGCAGCTGCTGGTGGTTTTTCCACTATTTTATGTGTGTCCATCCACCTTGTAATTCTCTTCTTCCTTGATTTGGGTCTCAAAGGGATTCCTTTCTGCAGATCATAGCAGAGGTTTGCATATGTCTAAGAATAAACCCACTGCCAAATACGTAAACTGCAAACAGGTGCCAAGCTGTCTTGCTCTTTCCCAGGATAAGGGAGAGATTCCCAGTAAAGCAATGAAAGATCATTACACACACACAAAAAAGTGTGATCTGTTGACAGAAACTACAGTTTGAGTGCCATCAAACATACCTTATTCCCTTTCCCTCCCGGCCTCTTTCACATAACTGCTGTTCGGGATTTTATATTCAAATAAATATTTGGCATTTGTATCCAAAAAGACAAATATGCAGAGAAAATTTTGCCTAAGTGAACGCTCATATTCAAAATTCTGTGGCTAGATGAATGGGTAAGTGACAACAGTGATGAATAAATAGCGCTTGGGCCTGCCAAACCCCAGCATTAGAAAGTGTAAACAAAGCAGTACTGAAAACAGATGGATTCATTTTAAGTTTTATCCCTTTTCGGTCAAGAGATGCTAATGAGGAAACTTCACTTTGTACCATGACCCTGACACGCTGTGTGCTAACACTAGCAAGGAGCAGGACTGACACATGGTCTGAGTGCCAGCACACAGCTGCCTTTCCACAGAACTAAGTAATTGTTACCAAAACAACAAAAAAACACGAATCTTCCTGCTGAATAATGACAGAAAGAAATTGCAATAGGCATTATGTAATTCCAGTAATTAGGTATTTGTGAGTATTTGAACTGGATTTATTGCAGAAAGCTAAAACATGGGAATTTGATTTCTTGGGGTGTGGAAAGAGAAACGGTGGAGGGTTGCTGAGATGAACTGAAATCTGGTGAGATTTTATAGGCATGGGAACCACTCTATCAAATCAGACCCGTGGCCTGTTTATTTTGATGATGCCCAAAATGTGACGGGCACTGGAGGCAGGTACAGCCTTTTTGGCAATTGGCAGCAACACGATATGGCAACCTTTTCATGCAGAAATCGTTCTTCTAGTGGCTCCTTTTAGAAGCCAAGTAACAAAAATTGTTATGGAAAATATAGGTTCCAGGCATTTCAATTTCCAACTGATTAAACCAAATTTTAAATATAACCAAGTTATGCTTGAAATAAAGTTGCAGATTTGAAAAGTATGTATATTTTGCAAGCTTTGGTCAAAATACCCAAATTATAATAATGTGTCTGGACAAAAAGACAAGGAAAAAACCTATCTACTTGCCTGCGCATATAGATTTGGATACTGTTTCTAGAAGCGAATTATAAGAGAAATAACATCTCCCAGTGACAGTCGCTTATTCCTAAATTTCACAGAGGAACTTTCTAGCAGTGAGTCCTGTGGTCATATACCTTCTCTGAGATGCTGCTTCTCCTCTGCTTTTACTCTTCTCCCTGTGCTGCCCCTCACCAGCTGTGTCTCCTCCTCCCCTGTGCCTTTTATGGTGTTTCCTTTTGGGTTGAGAGTTGTTCACCTGCTTTGCTCTACAGCTTTCTCCTTGTGTCACTTGCTCAAACAGTATCATTTAATATTGGTTTGTCTTTTTAAATTGTATTATTTGAAGTGACGTATCCTGCCTGTGCTGCTAACAAATTAAATACCTTCTGACAGACCTATGTAAAGTCACTTTTCACACATATTTTCCTTCCAGGCATTGTGAAAACCTCTTCTGGCCTTTGATCCTGTTCTGGGAAGCTTACTCACATGTGACCACATATAATTACAGCCTTCATAGCCAGTGCTGGTGGGATCTGTGTCAGGACATCTGTGAGCTGGAATGTGTCTCACCTGTTGAAATAACTATTTTATAGCTACTTGAAAGGTAAAGGAAATATAAAGCTGTAGAAAGATTATTTCAAAGAGAAGCCAAGAAAAACCAAGCTTGTGATGACTTAGCCAGCAGGGAAATCAAATCATAAAACGAAAGTGAAAACAAACCCCATGGCACTCCCTGCTTTCTTTTCCACTTTTTGTGTTATAACTTACCTTCAATAACTCACTCAGTTATCTTACAAGAGTTGTAAAATAAGACATTCATATATTTATACCTGAGGTATATTTTCTCTACAATAATTTTGTAGTAGTTATTGCTAAACAAAGAATTAACCCTCATTCTTTGATTGCACTACAGCAAGAGGTCTAATGGCTTTTTCTGTGCTTAGACATATTTGCTGAAATTTGTTGGATAATATGATAAAGATGCTGCCTTCTGATGACATTTCTTATGTTACCATTCATCTAGCTGATTGGAACAAATTCCTGAAAGAGTTCTGATATTTTAGATCATATTTTTTCCTCATCATACAGGGGAAAACCATGTTTATTATTATTCATTCCACTGAAATTTTGCAATCAAAATGGTATCACAGGCACATTTTCCATCCTTCCCTATTCATGATACATCCCTGTGTAATCACTTGCAGAATGGCATCATGCTTGTACCAAGCAAATTGTGTTATATATAAAAATATAAAAATTGTTGTTTTCATAGATATATGTGTGTATAATTTGTTCACCAACAGTGGGCATTTCAGGAGATTGCAAAAGAGCCATATACCATATTCATCACCACATCTGGTAGGCTTTCTTGGCTGCTGTTACAATTTTGTGGAATTAGGTGGCCCAGTGATTTTTCTTTAGCAAGATCCCTTCCTGCCCTGCTGGACATTCAGGTGTCCCTCCGTAATAGGTTTGAGGCCCTGGATCTTGAAGGAGAGGTAGGTGAGGATGTGGTGCAAGGCCCGCCTACAAGGCCACATAGGAAAAGGCAGTCAACTTCACACCTCAAGACTGCCTCTGATAAGAAAGAAAGAAGGGTCATTGTAGTAGGTGATTCCCTTCTGAGAGGAACAGAGGGCCCAATATGCAGAGTTGACCCTCATCATAGGGAAGTGTGTAGTCTTCCTGGAGCCTGGATCAGGGATATCACCAGGGCGCTCCCCAGCCTGGTGCACCCAACAGACTACTACCCGCTGCTGGTCTTCCAGACGGGTGAGGGAGAAGCTGCTTCCCGCAGTCTCAGGGGGATGAAGAAAGACTACAGGGCCTTGGGGCGGATGGTGAAAGACTCTGGGGCTCAAGTGATCTTCTCCTCACTCCTTCCATCTTCCGCTGATGATGTGGGACAGAATGGGAAAATTCAGTCCATAAATGATTGGCTTCGAGGCTGGTGCTGCAGGCAGGGCTTTGGATTCTTTGATAACGGCTGGTTTTATAGGGCACCAGTCTGGACAAGGGCATGTGGGAAAGGTTTACCGCACAGAGGCAAAAGGATGCTGGGGCATGAATTAGCAGGGCTCATTTGGAGAGCTTTAAACTAGATTTGAAGGGGGATGGGGTTGTAGCTGGGCTTGCCCCAGTGGGGCAGCACTCCAGAATTGATGAAGACTGGGGGGCCTCCTATAATCCTAGGGTGAAACCGGTGTGCTCAGCTCGCTCCCTGAAATGTCTGTACACCAATGCGCGCAACATGGAAAATAAGCAGGAGGAGCTAGAAACCTGTGTTAAGTCAGGAGATTATGACCTGGTGGCAATTACAGAGACGTGGTGGGACAGCTCACATGACTGGAGTATAGTCATGGAGGGCTATGTCCTTTTCAGGAAAGACAGGCCAGCCAGGCGGGGTGGTGGGGTTGCTCTTTATGTGCGAGAGCAGCTACAATGCGTTGAGTTCTGTCCGGGGACAGATGATGAGCGAGTTGAGAGTCTGTGGGTGAGAATTAAGGGGCAGGCTGGCAGGGGCGATACTGTTGTGGGGGTCTGTTACAGGCCACCGGATCAGGGTGAGGAAGTTGACGAGGCCTTCTACAGGCAGCTGAGAGCAGCCTCACAGTCACAGGCCGTGGTCGTCGTGGGGGATTTTAACTTCCCTGATGTTTGCTGGAAGGACTACTCGGCAACCCAGCCGCAGTCCAGGAGGTTCCTCCAGTGTATGGATGATAACTTCCTCATGCAAACGGTGGATGAGCCAACCAGGAGAGGTGCGCTGCTGGATCTCATCCTCACTAACAAGGGGTGTCTGTTCGAAGCAGTGAAGGTTGACGGCTGCCTTGGTTGCAGCGACCACGAGATGGTGGAATTCAGGATCTTGTGTGGTAGGACAAGTAGAATAGCAAGTAGAATTGCAACCCTGGACTTTAGCAGGGTAAACTTTGGCCTTTTCAAGCAATTGCTAGGGGAAATCCCATGGACAAGGCTGCTTGAAAGTAAAGGGGCCCAAGATAGTTGGTTGTCATTCAAGGACTGCTTTTTCCGAGCTCAAGATCAGAGCATCCTGACATGTAGGAAGTCAAGGAAGAGGGCCAGGAGACCTGCGTGGCTAAATAGGGAATTGCTGGGTATGCTCAAGTGGAAGAGGAGAGTTTACAGGTCATGGAAGGAGGGGCTGGCCACTTGGGAAGAATATAAGGCTGCTGCTAGAGGATGTAGGAAGGCAGCTAGGATGACTAAGGCCTCCTTGGAATTAAAGCTGGCGAGAAGGGTCAAGGACAGCAGAAAGAGCTTTTTCAAATACATGGCAGATAAAACTAACACCAGAGGCAATGTAGGCCCGCTGATGAACGGGACGGGTGCCCTGGTGACAGCAGATACAGAGATGGCAGAGTTACTGAATGCCTTCTTTGTCTCTGTCTACTCTGCCGGAGGCAGTCCTGAAGAGCCCTGTACCTCTGAGACCTCAGATGAAGACAGGTCAACGGAGCGGTCTGCCTTAGTCGATGAGGAATGGGTTAAAGACCAGTTGAGCAATCTGGACATCCATAAATCCATGGGTCCAGATGGGATGCACCCGCGGGTGCTGAGGGAACTGGCGGAGGTCATTGCTAGACCACTCTCCATCATCTTTACCAAGTCTTGGGAAATGGGAGAGGTGCCTGAGGACTGGAGGAAAGCAAATGTCACTCCTGTCTTCAAAAAGGGCAAGAAGGAGGACCCAGGTAACTACAGACCAGTCAGCCTCACCTCCATTCCTGGGAAAGTGATGGAACACCTTATCCTTGGTGCCATCTTAAGGCATATCAAGGATAAGAGGGTTATGAGGGGCAGTCAACATGGCTTCACCAAGGGGAAGTCGTGCTTGACCAATCTCATAGCCTTTTATGAGGAAATAACACGGTGGATGGATGATGGCAGAGCGGTGGATGTGGTCTACCTTGACTTCAGCAAAGCGTTTGACACAGTCTCCCACAGCATCCTTGCAGCTAAATTGAGGAAGTGTGGTCTGGATGATCAGGTAGTGAGGTGGACTGTGAGCTGGCTGAAGGAGAGAAGCCAGAGAGTTGTAGTCTATGGGGCGGAGTCTAGTTGGAGGCCTGTATCTAGTGGAGTGCCTCAAGGGTCGGTACTGGGACCAGTATTATTTAATATATTCATCAATGATTTTGATGAGGGAATTAAGTTTACTGTCAGCAAGTTTGCTGATGACACTAAGCTGGGAGGAGTGGCTGACATGCCAGAAGGCTGTGCTGCCATCCAGCGAGACCTGGACAGGCTGGAGAGTTGGGCAGGGAATAACTTGATGAAATATAAGAAGGGAAAGTGTAGAGTCCTGCATCTGGGCAGGAACAACCCCAGGTTCCAGTATAGGTTGGGGAACGACCTCTTAGAGAGCCGTGTAGGGGAGAGGGACCTGGGGGTCCTAGTGGACGACAGGATGACCATGAGCTGACACTGTGCCCTTGTGGCCAAGAAGGCCAATGGCATCCTGGGGTGTATTAGAAAGGGTGTGGTTAGTAGGTCAAGAGAGGTCCTCCTTCCCCTCTACTCTGCCCTGGTGAGACCGCATCTGGAATGCTGTGTCCAGTTCTGGGCCCCTCAGTTTAAAAAGGACAGGGACCTGCTGGAGAGAGTCCAGCGCAGGGCAACTAAGATGATTAAGGGAGTAGAGCATCTCCCTTATGAGGAAAGACTGAGGGAGCTGGGTCTCTATAGTTTGGAGAAGAAGAGATTGAGGGGTGACCTTATTAGTGTATATAAATATTTAAAGGGGGAGTGTCACGAGGATGGAGCCAAGCTATTCTCAGTGACAAACAATGATAGGACAAGGGGTAATGGGTACAAACTGGAACACAAGAGGTTCCACTTAAACTTGAGAAGAAACTTCTTCTCAGTGAGGGTGACAGAACACTGGAACAGGCTGCCCAGGGAGGTTGTGGAGTCTCCTTCTCTGGAGACATTCAAAACCCACCTGGACACATTCCTGTGTAACCTTATCTAGGTGTTCCTGCTCCGGCAGAGGGATTGGACTAGATGATCTTTTGAGGTCCCTTCCAATCTCTAGCATACTGTGATACTGTGATACTGTGAAGGCAAGCAATTACTAGATTTCCTGGGATGGTTCAACCACAGGGAATATTCCTAATTTAAAAAAGCTATAACTGCCAGTATATATATATTTTTTTTAATTATTTTTTTTTCCTAAACCTTCTGACTTTGGCTATCAAATGCAATAATAAATTGTATTCCCAGTTGTTCTTGTTCAGGGACTGTGCCTAATCCTGGAATTACTGGCATCTGTACGCCATTTCAGTGGTAAATTAGATCTGGGATATGCTAACCCCAAAGTGTAAGAACTGTGATTGGAAGCTTCTTGGCACTTTATAGTTGATTTATAGTAATTAGCTTAGTCTTCATTCTCTTTTGACAGTTTGCATAAAATTTGTGCTATTTTCTTAGCACCAGAGCCAATTGTATTCTCAACAAAATAATGGTCTTTCTGGTGAAAATTTGAATTCAACTAAACTCATTTTATGTTAATTGTTTTCCCTCATTGACAACTTCCTTTCCTTCTTCCCCAACCCCCCCAGTATTTTAGAGGAAGGATGG